TTATACAAAAAAAATTTTTTATTCACGCACCTTTGTTTATTGTATCCGAATTAAAAACTCGTATTTACGTAAAATAGTTTCGGCTGCAGTTATAATTTACAAAGTATCGCTTATTTTATTATTTATACATTGAGAAAATTTACTTTTTTAATTTTCTATTTTTTCTAAATGAGCACAGATTCAAAAGAATCTAAATCTTCACAACTATTAAAAGTACCTAAAATGATTTCGGACGAGAAAAGTCCATGTGCACCTGCAGAAGCTACACGCTCCAAGCTAGGTGCGACAAAACAAAAAAGGGGTAGAGACATTTCTTACACAAAATTCATTTCGGAAAGTGACAGTTTAATAAGATACTGCACTAGATTCTCATCTTCGCCGATTCAGGACAATTCTGAATCGGTATTAGAAATCAAAAAAGACAATCTTGACAATTTTTGGTCACGTCTCCAAGCTTCATATGACGTCATAGTAGAATCTGACGACTCAGATCTACCAGAAAATTTTAAGTCCTCGGCTTACCCCGAATATGAGAACTGCTTAGACCAGTTCGAAGAAACTAAAGCAATGATTTCCGATCAACTAAAGCTAATAAAAGCAATTGCACCTACTCCACATCCGCGAGTAGAGCTGTCACAAGTACAAAGTCAAGAGGCAAGTTCAGGCATCCATCTCAAGGTGCCCGCATGTGACACAGAAATATTTCATGGTGGTTATGAACAATGGCCGTCCTTCCGGGAACATGTTTACAGCCGTTTACATGAACCACCCAAAACTATCAAATGCACAAAAATTGTATCACCTCCGATACAAAACAAAAGGTCAAGCAAGCGTAATAGTAAAACAGTTCGCACTTAATGGCGATAATTTTCATTTGGTTTGGGAAGCTCTTAAATCAAGATTCGAAAACGAAAGGATATTGGGCGATAAACAAATATCGATATTATTGAACTTGCCAAAAATTCAAAGGGAAACAAGTGAAGAGTTCATCAAACTTCAATCCACTGTTTCAAATTGTTTGTCGGTTTTATCCACACAAAATATTCCCACAGACAGCTGGGACCCAATACTGGTAAATATATGCACCGCCGCTTTACCAGAAAAATCGTTACTTTTGTGGGAGCAATCGCTCTCATCACGAAAAAAATGCCACACGTGGCAACAAATGAAAGATTTCCTAACTACCCAATATGAAATCGCGGAAAGGGTAGATAAAAAAATGGTCAGAACAAAACCCGTTCGACATGACCTAAATAGAAGCTTCCACAGACCCCAAGCCAGTAGCAACAACAATTTAAATAGAAGCTTCTTCAAAAATCAAACGTTCACATCCGAACAGTACAAACAAACGTCATGCGAACTATGTACAGGAGGGCATAAGCTCAAATCTTGCGAGAGATTCAAAAAATTGAATATTATCGACCGAAACAATTTTGTAAAAACAAAACGACTTTGTACAAACTGCTTGTCACATGCGCATACACTTAAAGAGTGCGAAAGCAAATTTAATTGCGTTTATTGTCATAAACGACATCATTCTATGCTTCATTATAACAATTTTTCTAGATCACCCGGACGGGGCGGAAGAGTAGTCCAAAACTCAAATAAAATCTGCCCCATTACCTTAATTTCCCCCCAAGCGGATAAGCACATACAAGCAGAAGCTATAGTCTTACCGCAACTTACGAATATTCTTCCAAGCTATCACATAAATAGCAAGCATTGGCAAAAGGTTTCACACCTAAAGCTAGCAGATCCCAACTGCAACACTCCCGCTCAAATAGACCTTCTATTAGGCAGCGATCTCATACCACAGATAATACTCGAAGGTATTGAGAAAATTTCAAATACACTTCTGGCACAAAACACTATTTTTGGGTGGATCCTAAGTGGACTAGTCTCGGAACCAGTTACCACCATTACCACTCAGGTTGAGGAAATCTCAAACGAATACCTCAATTCACAATTGAAAAAAAAATTTTGGGAGTTAGAAGAACTCCCCCCCATATCAATCACAACCCCTGAAGATCAGTATTGTGAAGACTTTTACAAAGCCACAACTACTAGATCAGATAATGGTCGGTACGTCGTACGACTACCACTAAAACAACAATTTCCCAACACCATCGCCTTAGGTCACTCTCGTACCTCTGCAATACAGCAGTTTCAAAGTATGGAAAAAAACCTACTTAAAAAAGGCGAACTCAAACCAGTATATGATGGTGTGTTGGAAGAATATCTCCATTTAGACCACATGGAGGAAGTAAGTCCATGCGAAAAAATCATAAATGGCAAATATTACTCATTTTACTTGCCTCATCACGCAGTAGTAAAGCCAGACAAAAAAACAACTAAAGTAAGAGTTGTTTTTAATGCATCAAGATCTACTAGTTTGGGGAACTCCCTAAATGATATCCTATTTACGGGACCCACGCCCCCGTATATTCAAATACGTATATAACGGAGACGTCGAAAAAATGTATAGACAAATAGTCGTACATAAAGACGATCAAGATTTTCCGCGAATTATTTTCCGAAAATCTCCCAATAGTCCACTACGCGACTATAAACTAAAAACAGTTACCTTTGGCGTCAACTGTGCTCCATATTTAGCCATTCGAACACTCCACAAACTGGCAGAAAACACAAAGTCAGAATTTCCTCTGGCAACCGAAGTGTTAAAAACGCAAACATATGTAGACGATATCTTGTCTGGAAGTCACAGTCCTCCACAAGCATACGCGTCACTATCAGAAGTGGTAAAAGCCCTCAAAACCGCAGGATTTCCGTTGAAAAAGATAACGGCGAACCACCCTAATATTTTAAAAAATATACCACATGAAAATTTGTTGGATACTAATTTCCTTAAATTCGAAAAGGAAAGTACAACAAAAACTCTGGGGATCCAATGGAATGCGATATCTGACCAGTTTTCATACACTACAGAGTCAATATCTGCGTTATCCGCCATAACAAAGCGACAAATTCTATCCTCTGTGGCGAAACTTTTCGACCCCGCAGGATGGCTTTCGCCAGTTATGATACAAGCCAAAATCCTAATACAAGAATTATGGTTAGATGGAACCGACTGGGACGAACAAGTAAAACCACTTCGTTTAGAAAAGTGATCCCAGTTTGCGAGCAATCTAAATGATATCTCACAGATACAAATCCCACTTTGGGTAAATTATGCCCCAAAGCACAAAGTCGAACTACACGGCTTCTGCGACGCTTCTGAAAAGGCATATTGCGCAACTATATATGTTCGCACACAAAGCGACATTGCGACCAAAAGCCACTTACTAGTAGCAAAAGCGAAAGTAGCTCCGTTAAAAACAATAAGTCTACCACGACTTGAACTGTGCGGAGCGCTACTACTAGCCAAACTAGTATCCATGGTGCGAATGCATTTAAACATGGCAAAATACAAACTATATCTGTGGTCCGATTCTGAAATCGTACTCGCCTGGTTAGAAAAACCACCATATGCATGGATGACGTATATTTCCAATCGAACGTCTGAAATCCTTGACCTAGTAGGATCATCCACTTGGCGAGATGTGGCCAGTGCTGACAATCCTGCTGATTTAGGTACAAGAGGATGCAAACCCCTGCATCTTGCCACCACCACCCTCTGGTGGAATGGCCCCTGTTGGTTAACAGAATCTTCCGATTCTTGGCCACAATCGGCCATGCGCAATATAATTGCCCCAGAAAGTCGAAAAATCGACTCTTTTCTCACAACAGTGGATGATACTGACATCCTCGAACGATTTTCATCGTATCCCCGAGCACTCAGGGTAATCGCTTACATGCTCAAGTTCATAGAGCGACTCAAAAGTAAACTTAAGGGAGTAACTTCATTACACTCCCAATGCGATACGGTGACGCACCTAGACTTACAAAAAGCAAAGGTCGCTCTTATCTCATCTACGCAAGTGCGCTACTTCAGCCGCGATATATCACTTTTGAGAGATTGAAAACCTATTGACAAGAGAAGTCCCCTCTTAGTTCTAAACCCATTCCTCGACACGAAAGGTCTTCTTCGTGTGAATGGTCGGCTTGCCAATTCAAGCCTTACGTATAACGTATCCGCCAGGAATTTTACATTCCCCGACTTAAGCCCCAAATAAAGAAGTGCATTTTCTTGTGCAAAATCTGTACCACGCACAAGCAAAAGATGCGAACACAGATTATGGCAGCACTTCCCCCGGAACGCTGCAACTTTGCTCTACCTTTCTCCATCACAGGTGTCGATTTTGCTGGGCCTTTTCAAATAAAGGCGTCCATGTTAAGGTCTCCCACTCTGATGAAAGGCTATGTGGCTGTTTGTGTCTGTTTTACGACAAAAGCAGTACACATTGAGCTTTGTACTAATCTGACAAAGGAGGCTTTCCTTGCGGCATTTGCTCGCTTCGTCGGTCGACGCGGCTTTCCATCGACGATCATGAGCGATAATGGTAAAACATTTATCGGCGCTCAAAGAGCCACTGAAAAACAATTCGTGGACTTTATCAAACAAGTCTCACCTGAAATTGTACAAAAGTACGCTCCCCAAGGTATTAGCTGGCAGTTTATCCCTCCAAGCGCTCCTCAAATGGTGGTTTATGGGAATCAGCTGTAAAAAGCTTCAAATCCCACTTAAAAAAAGTAGCTGGAAACTACAAATTTAATTATGAAGAATTTACAACATTATTAATTCGGATTGAAGCCGTTCTCAATTCACGGCCACTTACGACACTCTCGCAAGATCCCTCAGATCTCACAGCCCTAACTCCAGGGCACTTTCTAAAAGGAGCACCCATTCTGGCCATACCTGAGCCAGGCGTGGAGTCGCTGTCCTTACATAATAGATGGGAAAGAATTAAAATTCTCCATCATGATTTCAGCCGCCGATGAAAGGAGGAGCATATAAAGGACCTTCATAAAAGGTACCGCTGGAAAACTCCCAAGAAGGCGCCAAAGCTTGGAGATTTTGTCCTAATCCATGACGATTGTCACCCCCCTACAGAATCGCGGCTTGGTTGCATAGAGAAGCTACATCATGGTTCCGACGGTCATATACGAGTAGTTGACCTCCGTACTCGAACCGGTACGCTAACCAGGCCGCTCGTTAAACTATGCTTCCTACCAATCGCAGACAACAGCGAAAACGCAAGTAATAAAACATCCGTACAATAATATTATATACACGCAGAAAACAAAATATCCGTCTAATAACCTAAAACCGAAAAAAAACCGCAAATATAATAAATCACCACAATATATACTAATACAATAATGGGTGGACTAAAACGTCCCCCACCAACCAAATAAAGTTGGTTACATTTCAAAGGATCCATTATCTATATCACTGAGTCATAACTAAACTCGCTCTTTTTTCCATACAGGTAGTTATGGACGCTGAAATGCCAGTTACACCCACGCCAACCATGCGTTCGGCTGTCACTGTGCCGCGCCCTGCGACTACCCCCGTAGCAGCGCCACGAACAACACCAGCAACAACTGCACAGACAGCTCCACGACGTGCCACGCGCCCAATGCCTACTTTAGTTTCAGAGCCGCCTCGCCTCCGCTGCCCGCTCTGTTGCCGTTCGCACCGGCTGCAGCACTGCCCCATTTTTAAGGGTATGACACCCAATCAACGTCAGCAGGTGGCCCAAGCACATGGGCATTGTTTGAATTGTTTGGCCCAGACGCACGACACGCAGCAATGCGTGTCCGATATCGTGTGCCAACACTGCGACAGGCCGCATCATACCTTGCTGCATCGAAACCCAAGACGCCCTGGCGCACGGCCCTCAGTACCCCGCAGCCATGATGCAGGCCGTCGTCCACAGCCAAGCCATGCAGCACGACCCCGTCAACGACAAGCACTCGATGCACCCCGTACTTGGCGTCAGCTCAATAGCACCTCAACACGACACCAACCCTTAAGGCCGCATCCTCGTCGCAGGACAGGCCTCAGCAACGTCGTAGCAACGTTGCAACAACTCCAGCGACTGCTTGGCTGAACATTCGCCTAGGGGGGCCGGGATGGCTAAATGAGTTCAGCTTCCCGCCCTAATGCAGTCAACAACACCGCACAACACACTACTCATACGACAACACAAAACACCACTCATGCGACAACACAACACACCACTCACACGACAGCGTAACACACCACTTACAGGACAACACTGGCACACCACATCTGGAAACATTAGCACACCCACACCCCACACACCAAGGCAACCTTGCTGGAAGCAGCAGCATACACCCACACACAGCAGAATAACTCTACACACCAGCATGAACAAAACCAGGGAGGGCGATCGAGCCGACTCTCTTTTCGATCGAAATCGTCAACAGGGAAGTCGCAATTGAAGTTTCGCCTTTTTTCCACGGTCGCACATCCCGATTATAACCTTTTATTCCTCAAGTGACGTTATAAGTTCTTTTTTTGTTTGTTGATAAGATATCAACATATTTATAAATAAATTTCAGTTTCTACAAATACGTGAGTGTTTAGTGGAACGAAAAAGTGGAAAAGGTGAGAACAAAGGTACAAAAAAACTAAACGCTTTCTAAAACAGGGGGATCTATGGTACCTATTTTGAAGGGTCTACCCATGAAGACTAAATTAACAATAACTTACATATAATTAAGTATGGTATACACATATGTAGAGCAGGTATGTAGATTTTCTTCTTTCTGTCTTAATAACTAAACCTTTCATAAGCTGTCAACGGCGCTAGATTTTCTTGAGTTTACAGTTCACCTCATGACCTTCATATTAAAATGTGTCGCAAAACTGAAATAATAGACAGTAGCATGTAAACCGATGGTCGCAGTTTATCTATAACCACATAAAAAGGGTCTTTAGCCCTTTTGATACTACATTACTAATATTTATTTCATGCAATTTTTTCTAGAAAGATTTTTTTGCTCTATACAAAGTCCAGCACTCTAGGAAACTTTTTTAGCATTGTTGACTGGTATATTTTATGATAAGTTCAACATGATGGCTGAGAAAATATACCTAACCACTGATTATCACCAAATATTAGAAAAAATATATGTATATAGAAATCTATATCTATCACTTTAGGTGATGCAAACAACTCTTTGGTAAACAAAACTATACTCTGTTGCAACATGTTGCGAAAGTATAAATATGTTGCGAAAGAATTCAACATTCATTACTCGATTATTATTTGGTATCTTATTAACTTATGTTATTGATCATAGATTTATTTCATTTTCTCCGAAATGTTAACTTTTATAAAAAGAAGCTATTTAACTTAAACATGGTATATGTGATATAAACTGAACCAAAGGGGTTAGATTTGATATGTGGGGTATATGAGGTTGCTGTTGTACCAGAGGAGCGGAAATCAGTATATTAGGGTTGTAAGGTTTAAACAAAATCTAGACCAATTTCATTCATATGCAGCGCTATAGATTATTTTTAAGAAAAACTGTTTTATTAAATTATCAAATTGACGAAAAAAATATACCATAAGTAGTACATGTGAGCTGGGCAAATCAAAGACCAGAAAATTCCTCCAAACCGTATATTAAAAAATGTTGAATTAAACATCCATTATTAAATGATATCGTGATTAAATTACACTCAAATTTGGTATCTTCTTGACTTATAGAGATATACATAAGTATGAATGTGATATTAACTCCACCAAAGTGGCTAAATTTTATATTATAAGCTTAGGTGGCAAACGTCAACCAGAGAATCGGAATTCATTATATGAAGGTGTGAGGTTTAGACTTAGTATATACTAATTTCATTCTAATTCAGCGTCAAACCACATAATTTTTAAGAAATCTTTTCCACTTAATTTCGTTAAAATATCACGTTGATCAACCGGAACGGTGTAAAGTCAGGTGGAAAGACGGAAATCATATATATATTGGGGATAGAGAAATATATTAATTTTGACATTGCTCAGCTATACTCGAGAACATATTTTGAAGCAATTTTATATATAAAACAAAATATTAATACTCACTGTTCGACATATTCGGCATAAAACTGGTTAGAATAACGAAACGCATTATAAGTAGTATATGGAATTTGAGGGCAGTATTAACCCGATTTTATTAATTTGTTCCAATACCACCTACTACTAACATGCCACAGACTAATAAAGTGCTCCCACTGTTTCATTAAGGTACCTCACATACCATTACCAATCAAATGGATGAAAGTCAGACGAATGTTCGAAAATCCTGATATTAGTTACATGGGGGCTGAGGAAAATTTTCATCCGATTTGATCTTGTTATGAGTAGAACACGCTCTCTCTTTGTCATTGAGATAACTCACATATGCGGTATAAAGTCACGCGGAAGTTCAAAAAATTGTATATTAGATATATGAGGGCTACAAGAACTATTTATCCGATTAAACCCATTTTTGAAACAAAGACATACTATTATCGATAGTTTCATTTATTTATTCTATTATATGAATTTCAATTATATATCTTACACAACGGCCGATAGTTACGGTAAAAAGTCAACTATAGGTACTGGGGTCCACATATTCAGTACTTAGGGGCTTGAACAGTTTTGGTGCGATTCAGAGAATTTTTGGTCACAAGGTGGCATACTTTAAACGTATTATTCACGCAAAGTTTTACCCCGATATAATCATTGTTGCTTGATTTGCATAGTGGAAAGTGAAAGAATCAAGTGGAATTTAAAATGGTGTCATATGGAAAGTAGACGTGGTTGTAATCCGATTTAACTCATCGCACCATAACATAGAAATATAAAAAAAATGTTATGTACCAAATTTGGTTGAAATCGATTAAAAAGATATGGGTTTTCACCTAAAAGTGGGCGGTGTCACGCCCACTGTCTAATTTTGAACGCGGTTCCTATAAAGTCATCTCATACCATCTCTGAGATAAAATTTAATGTCTCTGGCGTGTTTAGTGCTTGATTTATCGCGCTTTTAGTAGTTTTTAACAGTACTGTTACATGGGGAGTTGGCGGGGTTGTCACCCGATTTCACCCATTTTTACACCGTAGGTAGAGGTGCTAATTAGTAGCATTTGCTTTCAGTGAATTTTCTTATTATAGCTTCAGTAGTTAAGGAGATATGCACATTAAACTTGTTAGGGGCGGGACCACGCCCACTTAAAAAAAAAGTTTTAACTGCAGATGCCTCTCCCTGATGTGATCTCGTGTACCAAATAACAGTCTTGTATCTTATTGCGGAGCTTAGTTATGGTAATTTATTTGTTTTTGATTAATGGCGTTTTGTGGGCGTGGTAGTGGTCCGATTACGCCCACCTGCAATACAAGAAACATGTGTACCAAGTTTCATAAATATATCGCAATTTTTACTCAAGTTACAGCTCGCACGAACGGACGGACAGACAGTCACCCAGATTTCAACTCGTCTCTTCATCCTGATCATTTAGATATGCATAACCCTATATCTAACTCGATTAGTTTTAGGTGATACAAACAACCGTTAGGTGAACAAAACTATTATACTCTGTAGCAACATGTTACGAGAGTATAATAAATTGACATTTGGAACGGGGTCGGTCATTGGATATACCCCGCACGGAGGCTCGCTGTTGTAGCTGATGAAATGTCGAATCGAATATAGAGAATTGCGCGGAATGACGGTGTCAGAAAATACAAGTTAACACAAATAACATTTATCTTAACATAGTAATATTTATTGCAACAATGTATCAGACTTAATTGCAACTATTTAGCAATATTCGTTGCAACATTATTAAAGTTAACAACATAACGAAATTTGTTAAAATAAACATCCACTCCAACTCATTGAATCAATCGATATTTCTGCTGACCATTGCATATAAGTTATTTTTTATTTTTATTTTCTTTTAGTTTATTCGAAAAGCGACGGTGTTGTCGACTACCCACGAACGATTTAAATAATATTCCGTTCATGCGATAGCGACGGTGTTGTTGACTACCACAGAATTATGTTATTATAAATAAGCACAATCTGAGTTCCGTTTTTCTTTTCTGCTGACGCCTAAGCTTGTGTAAGGCATTGCGTTACATCCGCCGGTCACACGGTCGGTGGCTACTGCAAGGTGTTGACCGGCTGTCGGTCATACAGTTCATTTGAATCATGCGCGATCAAACTGCATACAATGCAGTTTTGGCAGCTCAAAAGCCTCGCTTAGTTAACTTTTGTTAACTTATATAAACAAACAACCACCTTAACTCTTAGAATCAATCGATATCAATAACTCATTAACTGCAAGTTCTGTTGCATAATGCGGACGCCGTTGACCCACAGCTAGTTTAGGGTAAATTTAAGAAACTATTGTTCAGTTACAATTTTATGCTCAATAAAGAAAAATACAATTTCTTTAAAATTCACTGGATTAATTCGAGCTACCAAGAGGAGCGACCACACCAAATTCCCTAATGTAGCCAGATCGAACCTCGGGGTCTTCACGCCGACATCTGTGACCTCGAGTATTTCTTATTTGCTCTTCAGAGTGAATTTGTGGATCTTGCCGCCTTGTTCAGTATTTACAACTTGCTCAACATATCGAACCTCGGAGTCTTCGCGCCGAGATCTATGACCTCGAGTTAAGTTATATTTATATTTTAGAAATTAGTAGTTCATTTCATTGCATTAAAACTTTTAAAACAGGGGGATCTATGGTACCTATCTACAAGGGTCTGCCCATGAAGGCTAATTAATAATAACTTACATATAATTTAGTATGGTATACACATATAAAGAGCAGGTATGTAGATTTTTTTCTTTCTGTCAAACCTTTCATAAGCTGCCAATTGCACTGGGTAAAAATGTAATTCTTTTGAGTTTACAGTTTACCTCGTTACCTTCATATTCAAATGTGTCGTAAAACTGAAATAATAGACAGTAGCATTTAAACCGATGAGGTTGCAGTTTTTCGATAACCACATAAAAAGAGTCTTTAGTCATTTTAATACTACACTACTAATTTTTATTTTATGCAATTTTTTCTAGAAAGATATTTTTGCTCTATACAAAGTTCAGCACTCTGAGAAACTTTTCAACATGATGGCTGAGAAATTATACCTGTCCACATATTATCACCAAATATTAGAATAAATATATGTATATAGAAATCTATATCTATCTCGATTAGTGTTAGGTGATGCAAACAACCGTTTGGTGAATAAAACTATACTCTGCTGCAACATGTTGCGAAAGAATTCAACATTCATTATTCGATTATTATTTGGTATCTTATTAACTTATGTTATGGATCATAGATTTATTTAGTGTCAATACTAATTTTTTCTCCGAAATGTTAACTTGAATAAAAATAAGCTATTTAACTCAAACATAATATATATGATATAAACTGAACCAAAGGGGATATATTTAATATGTGGGGTATATGAGGTTGCTGTTGTACCAGAAGAGCGGAAATCTGTATATTAGGGTTATAAGGTTTAAATAAAGGTCTAGACCAATTTCATTCATATGCAGCGATGTACCACGTTATTTTTAAGAAAAACTGTCCATTTAAT